TGTAGGGACCAAAGATGGGTGCAATGCCTTAAAATCGTAGTTTTCTCAAAACTATACGAATGCGGTCGAAATGTTCTCTTATGCCCTGAAATTTAATCCCGAGTGTTACACTTTGTATGCTTTGCGTGGCAGTTCTTTCATTTATCTGGGTAGGTTGCTAGGTATATCATACATTTTTGTTTTATTTTAATTTTGCTAGCTATCAGTGTGTTTATGTTGAACTGTGCTAATTATAATTTTTATTTTATTCAGAGGCCAAGAAGGATATCGATCAATCGTTCGAGTTAGATCATAACACTGTTATTGGATCATGCGTCATGGGGTTGGTAGTCTGTAACTATGTTTTGTTCAGAACTTCGATATCAATCCAATTTCTAATTCTTAAACTTTCTTGAATCAGAGATTGGTTGATGGGCATGTTTGGAAGCAAGGGCTATAGGCATGAAGTGTGATTTTAGTCAGATTCTCCCAAATATACGTTGTCTTCCACTGTCTAGCTGTAAATCTATCCCAACTAATGTTAATACTAAAAAACTGGTGGTATTTCATTTGGCGGATTCCAATGTGAAGGATGATCGGAAGGGTTGGAGCGGGATAAAGGTAATCAATTTCTCTCTTTATGTAACCTTACCACTTGCAATAAGTAACTAACTAACTATTTATGACGAACCACAGGCAGCAGCAAAAATAAAATTAGTGAAATTAACGACCTGTCACGAGCTGACAAAATCTCTCGACTTGTCGACATGCACAAGCCTCGAGTCTATAGACTTTTGCCATTGTTGGTATATGAAAGGGCCGGTGCACATTAACAATTTCATGAATCTGAAAACTCTTACTCTCAAATCAACCTCCACAACTGATATAGTCCCTAGGGGTGGTGACATTGGGAAGCTTCAACGACTGGAGGTGGTGGAAGTGCAAGGGACCAGATTGAGGGAATTTCCTGGCGGGATGTAAAATTTGTCCTCTCTCAGAATCTTGTTGGTAACACAATGGAAGGGCTTCCAGACGGAGATACCCACGCTTCCAGGGAGTTTAAAGAGCCTATCCATCTTGTCTTCATCGGGGGTCCCAAATCTGCTAGAGTCAAGCACTTGGAATTTTTGAACTACACTTTTGGTCCTTTGAACCTCGGAGATTTATGGCGGCTTCCCAATTTGAAGGAATTGACGGTGAAGCGCTCCCCTAACATAAGTACAATATTGCAGCAAGAGCAGAACCAGGAAGTAACTTCTCTTGGTGATGCTCTGCCGACTTCATTAACCAGACTTAAAGTCGTTGATTGCCTGGATTTGAATGAACTCCCCAGCCTAGCGAGCTTGTGCAATCTGACCCGACTCGAACTCTCGAGTATCAGGGTGGTCGGGATTCGGGGCTTGGGGGAGCTGAGGGTGTCATAAACCAGTTGGTCCCAATAACTCGAGTTGTTGGGAGAAGGTTATGCTGGATCTTATACAGGCCCATGTATGGTACTTAACCACTTCCTTACACGCCCCCTCAAACGAAAGCCGACTCATGGGCTTGAAGTTTGCACAGGCCCGCCATACCATGTGCTTGAAAGACAACGGTTAATATTGGGGGTCGTGAGGACTTGAACACGTGACCTCAAGGACAAACCAGCTCTGATACCATGTCATAAACCAGTTGGTCCCAATAACTCGAGTTGTTGGGAGAAGGTTATGCTGGATCTTATACAGGCCCATGTATGGTACTTAACCACTTCCTTACAGAGGGCGTTGAAGACTTTGAGAATCTAATCCTCATTGCGACCCTAACTTTGAGGGTTGTCATATTGGAGAGACTTCCAATTCTAGTGAACCTGAGCTGTTAGAAACCGAACCGAAAAATTAGGGTTATCGATATGGCTGAGTCGCGGACTAGGTCGCTCTCTTTAAGACGTTCGCGGCACTGCCTTCGTTGCGCACGGCAGACTATCAGCCGGTCGCCTCCAGGATAAAACAGCCACTCTATTTTTTGTTGCTCATCGGTTTTATGCGAAAACCGGAGCTCTATGAACTCACTCTCTATCTCGTGTTTCTGCTCTCTGAGGTGTGTTTAGAGGGTCTGGGGCGTCTCCTATTTATAGGACCAGAAAACCCAGAATATTCCCTCTTTCTTTGAGAATAAATCATATTTTATTTAGGAAGATAATTACTCCCATAATTAAAATATAGTCTATTAAGATAATTATTCCTAATTATCTCCATAATATTCCTTTTATTAATTATCCATTTTAATTATGTATTATGGGAAAATACTGGATAATTAATTAGGAATTTTATTTATAGCTTTTCAAAGCTATTCATCCCAACATGAGCAAGTTGAAGGATCTGGAGGTTTGCAAATGTGCGAATCTCGTTGAAATCCAAGGCATGGGCGGCCTCGGGAAGTCTTTATCCCGTCTGATAATCAAAAGATGTCCCAGATTGACAAACTTGGATGTACTTCAACTTTTGGGAGCATTGGAGGTATTGACTTTGCACGAACAATCGTTTGGCGGGAAACCATTTCTTGATCTCCCCTGTCTCGTCAAACTGAAACAGTTGGACATCGGGATGTATCCAGAGTTGACGGAGGTTACAAGGTTGGGGACATCGTTAGAATTGTTGAATATAGAGAGTTGCACTTCGATTCAACAGTTGCATGTAGGGATGGCAATTTCGACCTGACTCGTTTTACCCGACCTGTTTGGCCTGTTTTGGGGCGGGGCGGGCATGGGTACCTCTCGTCGACCAGACCTGCCCTGATCCGCCTCATTCTCGACCCGTTCTTGCCTAAATTACATGTAATCTTAATCAAATTACTTAGAATTTTCTTCATATTGCCTCATATTTTAGCTATAATAAAGTTGTAAATAAGTGAAAATCTCAATTTCTCCAATACTTTAACTACATTTTATCATATTATGGTTTATTTCTTGGTCTTTTAATGATAATAATGAATATTATTAAAGTTTTTCACATAAATTATAGGAACCTCCTACCATGCCTTGAAGTTACTATAACTTGACGTTTTTTACCTACTATAGCAGGTTTTATAGGTCGCGTTACGTAAAACTAATGTTTATTACGTAACAATTACGTAATGCTTGTTAGTCTTACGTAACAGTTAAACTAGAAGCGTTACGGAAGGTTTCCGTAACGACTTATCATTTTACGTAACGCTAGGTTAATATTCATTACGTAAAAGCATCGTCTATTACATAAGGCTTCCGTAATGACATTTTACAACTGTTACATAAAATACATGCTCATTACGTAAAGGTTACGTAACGAAGGTTATTTCTTACGTAACAGTTAAATTAGAAGTGTTACGTAAGACTTCCGTAATGACTTACCACATTACGTAACTTGATTAATATCATTACGTAAAAGGACCATCCATTACGTAAGGCTTCCGTAATGCCACTTTACAACTGTTACGTAAAGTATGCATCTATTACGTAAAGGTTACATAACGATAGTTATTTCTTACGTAACAGTTAAATTAGAAGTGTTACGTAAGCCTTTCGTAATGATTCAACAGATTACGTAACGAAAGGTTAATATTCATTACGTAAAATGAGTCTCTATTACGTAAGGTTTCCGTAATGACATTTTTCAACTATTACGTAAGATAAACACACATTACGTAACCATTACGTAATGCGTATGTATTTTACGTAATGCGACTTGTGAAACCTGTTATAGCAGGTCAAAAACATCAAGTTACCATAACTTCAAGGTATTGTAGGAATTTCCTAAATTATATACCTATTAGGTCGACTTGCCCCGACCGCGCCCCATGATAAATTACCCGACCTGGACCCTATCTGTCATGGGGCGGGTATGGGTATCGAGATACCCGGCCCGGACCTGCCCCATTGCCATTCCTAGCTGCATGATCTATCCGAGCTCGTCAATCTCAAGGAACTACACTTCAGTGATTGCCGAAGCTTGATGAATCTCCTAGGGGTCGACAGATTGGAGTCGTTGCAGCGGCTACAGCTGCAACGCTGTGGTTCAATTAGGAAGCTACCCAACTTATCCGGCCTCAAGAATTTGTGGCTTTTGGACCTTTAGGGATGCATAGAGCTAGGTGGGAGGGAGGGAGGGAGGGAGTCGAGGGATTGAATTCGTTAATATGGCTGAACCTGCGTGATTGCAGGTCAATAACGGAGTTGGGAAATTTTTCTGGTCTCGAGAACCTGCAAAAGTTTGATATCTGGGGCTGCACGAAACTGAGCGTGGTCAATGGACTTGATGAGTTGAAGGAGTTACTGGACATGAAAATGGGAAGAAGGATGAGAGTGAAGTGTTTGGCAAAATCGGCTGTTAGATATGGGAATAGACTTCGTTGGATTCGTTGTGGGTAACACACCAACTGCTGCTGGGACGACTGTTAATTAATGTAAATGATGAGGGATATATATGTAAATGTATATATAACTAGAATGGAAGCGCGGACATTTCGTTGCATGTAATAATAGTATTTTTTAGACCGGAATGATTGTTCTAGACTTGTAAACTATTTCAGTGATAAAATGGTACAATTCAACAAAATATATTGGCCACATCAGCAAAATCGTATAGACAAAATTGGCCGGAAGTGCTCACCACGTCAGCATCTTCTTTTCTCCAGTCAAACTTAACACTAACATTGTTATAGAATTGACGAAAATGACTACAAGTAGTATTTCTTCAAAATTGGCTATTAATATTATTGTTATAAACACGAAAGTTTTGAGTATTTTGCTTTGAAAAATGAACCCACCATTTCACATAGTAGGACCCAGGCCTCCAGGTCAGCGCCTACCAGAACGTTCCACGTCAGCAAGATGTTCAAGCTGGATCCTCCTTCACGTGACGGCTTTTGCCCTTCCCTCCATTTTCCCGCCTCCTCCATTCCTTCGCCTGCATTCCCTTTTCTCCGATCCCAACCAACCGAAATTATCGCTCTGTTTCCTTTCTCCAATTGTCAGCAGATTCACCGTCTCCATTGTTTTCTTGTTTCTCCCGGGGCCATTTTCTCTCTGCCAGCTAGAGGGAGGCAAAATAAACAAAAACAGAGCCGCCCGCCGGCCGGCCATACCAGAACCTCAAGTTTCCTCTGAAAATTAAAAGGAACTTCCGTCTGCGTTCCATGGACGAATCAATTTTGAAAGAAACCGAAGCTTTTGGTATCAGGTTTCTTCCTACGCCGGCGATCTCCGGTTTAATTTGATCGTCCTTTTTATTTAATCTCGGTTGGAGATGGATGAATTGGAGGATCTGGAAGCGGAGGAATTCTTCTCCGACCCGTTCTCAGGAGTCGAGGAGTTCGACCTCGATTACGAGTTCGATGCGCCTAAGTTCCACGATTTCACGAAGCCGGAACCCGATTCCGACGCCGACGAAGCTCAGGGATGGCTCGACGTCGCTGCAGGATATCCGCCTTCCCGTAATTCATCTCTTGATCAACAATTCTCTCAATCTTAATTCGAATTTTCGTCGTAATGTTTTCTCTCTACATTTGAATTCCGCAGCGCTGGCTCTGAAGATGTACTGGAGACCTCTGGTTCCTCCGGTAGAGACCAATCCTTCCAGTTCCGACCGTACGACCTCTTCTGTAGAAGACGAAGATAACGATGAACCAGGTAATTTTGAATTTCATAGATGGAATTTTCTCTTCCAGGGACTTTGAAATGCTTTAATTATGCTCAAATTTGGCCGTTGGCCTCGCAAATGTTGCAGGATCAAAACCGAGCGATTGCAAATGCGAACCGAAATCGCCGGCTAAATCTCCGGCCAAGTCAAGAAGTTCGAGTTTCATGAACCCTACGGCTAGTCACTTGGCGAAGAAATTAGCCCCTGAGCAAATACAGTGCGAACGATTGCTCAGAAGGTGTGGGTTTTGCTAATCTTCTAGTCGAATCATTGTTGACCTATAATTTCTGATTTAAGTTCATGCTGATTAATGATGATTCCTGATTTGTTAAGGTTTCCAAAGGACGCCATAAGCGAGGGGAACAGTTCGCGTAGTTCATCTACCAGTGGCGTCCCAGCAACCAAAAGGCAAAAGCTCGAGGCTGGTTACTTGCGCAAGGTAGCACAAGGGCTGTTTTTCATTCTTCAATCTTCTGGGTTTGTCTTTGTTTGTTGCTAGTTGTTTGGGCTCGAACCATGAGCGACAATGGTTTTGATCTCGATGTTGTTTCAGGCTGCACGATTGAAGCATCGAGCTCTTCTCCACCACAAAGAATCAAATCCAAAGGTTTGTTAGTTCCAGAATTCGTACATTTCGTCATTTCTGTGTTACATTTCATCATTTTGCTCAGTGGTTGGTAATGGGTTCTCAGGATGTTAACAAGGCCTCTAGTAGACCTAGAGCTACAGTTCCTGTGCAGCCAAATCTAGCAACAGCTGGTAGAGCAGAGCTATGGAGGTAATGTTGTTCAACCTTGCAGGCACCTTCATTTTACGGTTTTGTTCATCACTGAGATGCCTGTCTCTCTGAAAATCGTCAGGTCCAAAACTAAATCGGAGTTTGAAAAATATGCAAAACCCAGTACTTCTCCTGCCAAAACGAGACCATTGAATGGAAAGGTCTCTACATTCAGCTACAGACTACGGCACTTGAGTTCTCAGTCATTTCCCTCTTTAATTTATACAGTCTCTGATCTTTAGCACAACGCTTTCGTTGTTTGGCAGCTTTACAAGGTTCCTTCCTTGCCAATACCAAGGAAGTCCACACGGCCGCTGCCAGAACTTCAAGTAAGTTGCATACATGGTTTTCAACCATTCATCTCAAATAATAATTCTAGACTAGGAAAGTGTTTACAACCCTCTTGATGTTCAGTTGGTCTGGTTGAAAACCTGACCAGACTAAGCTTTCTGTTGCAGGGAGTAAAGCTACCCCGTTCGAAATCTTCGTCTGAAAAGGATAAAATAGATCTGACAGGGTAAGATTGAAAACTGCAGTAATAACAAAAAGTTCTGAACAGTCGGATCTTTGACAGAGTTCATTTCCTTTGATGCAGTGGTCCACCATTGAGAGACAAACAGGAGCAACCTGGGAGAACTCGATCTCTGAAAACAAAGGTAGGCTGCAAGCCTGCAACAAATTCGCTATTATGTATGGCCTTAATGCCTTATAGTTCAATTTTGTCACATTTGATCGGTGTGGACTCTCCACCAACTTCAGGAATCAAAGGGCACGGACAAAAGGAGGTTCCTGGATGAGCCACCAGTGGATGCATTTAATCAGGTTCATTCCATTCAGATTCTGCTTAGGTTCATTCCATTCAATTTCTTCTTAGCAAATTCAAAACAATTTGGACTTACTTACTGCTCCACTCTTGATGTATACCAGCTCTCCCTAGCGTCTCAACCTCATTCTACAACCAGACATGAGACCAAAGTGCATCCTCAACCTGAGGTTTACTTCTCTCAAACCCTTCAGTCCGATTTCAAACGGCATATATGTATAGATGCGCTAACGAGAGTATACCTGCCTGTTTTGTACATCAAAGGTCTCAAAAGAGAACACACCGAATGACTTGAATCAAGAGAACGAGGTACACTTGCTTCCCATGGTTGGTGAGTTTCACCTGCAAATATTTCTTGCTTCTGCACTGGCCATTAAACTCATGAAATCTCCAACTGGCTGTACTAGGTGAAACCGCATTGGCCTGGACCTGTGATTCTTCACCATTGTGGAAATGAAAACACCACTGCCTCCTCACTTGGATACCAGATGAACAATAACAGGTTAGCACCTCTTTGATACATACACAGAAAATTTTGATCTCCTGCTGGATTCTTCTAACCCTCTCCTAACATTAGATTACTTGTTTTCCCCGGAATAGGAGCATGCCAATTCACTAACACAATAACAAAAGATTAGCTCCATCAACAAATGGATTCCAGGGGGCTCTCCTGCTATCTGTTTTGTAGTTCATCAAGTGTAGGAATCCTGAAATGGCTCGAAACCATCAGTTGCTTCAGGATGTAGCTTTCTTCAATGGCAGTGAATTCTTTCACAGCAGTTTCCATTTTCAACGCAAACAGATGTGAACAAGCAGCTAAGCATGTAATTACTTCACTGCTAAAGCCATTAGCTCAGTGGCTGGGCGAGTTCATCTGTGTAAAGGTTCAATGTAAGCTGGTGGCCATTTTGTTCACAAGTTAATACCAAGTGTAAATTTCAACAGGCTGAAAAGTAAGTTTCTACAACTGCCTGTATAAGATAATTGAACCTACCAAAAACCAAACCAGTTCAGACGCCACGGTCCACCCAACTACAAAAACCAATACCCGAGGCTGGTTCCCAGCCTAAAACCAGGGTCGAAGTACAGAACCCATGAATCAACATCATACCTTTCCGAAAGCCAAAATTTGGGCACTATTCATTTACTTTCTCCTCCCTAGTTTAAAAACCAAACGTTCGACTGGCTTGGTTATACCCTAAACTACTTTAAGCAAAGTAGCAAACTAACTAAAACGTATTCTTAGATATAGCTTCTCTGAACCTAACAAACCACTGACCATCAGACGAGTTGTTCTCTTGCTGCAACTGCTGCTGATGCTGCGGCTGCTGTTGTAGAACAGATCCACCACGTTGCTTCTCGCCTTTCTCCGCAAGGAACTTCGAGTAGTCAATATCCTTCGACGAGAGCGAGCAGCCCTTCATCGGCGGAGGTGGCAGAAATGAGACCAACACCCTCACAACTTCATGCATTGTCGGCCTCTCGGAAGGGTTTGTCTTCGTACACAGCAGAGCCAGTTGCAGTGTCTTCCTGAGATGGCTTACATCCATGCAAGTTACTGAAACTTCAGAGTCCACAGCTTCCATTATCGTGTTGTCATCAGCCTTGGACATGATCTGAAGACCAAAACCAAAACAAAATCACTAACTAGTCACTCCAGTAACAATTAAGTAATTAACTAGCTTCTTAATAATCTTCATAAAAAAAAACTAGCTTCTTAATAATACCAAACAGTTACCAGTTGTTGCAAGTTGGAGTCGTTATCCACAGCCTTCTTCCCAGTGAGAAGCTCCAGAAGAACGATGCCAAAGCTGTAGACATCGGACTTCTCATTCAGACGAGAAGTTCTCGCGTAGTCAGGGTCAATGTACCCGATAGTCCCGAGAACCAACGTCGATGCATGAGATTTCGCCGTCGGGAGGCATTTCGCAATACCGAAATCAGCGAGATGAGCTTCGAAGTTCTCATCGAGAAGAATGTTCGACGACTTAACGTCCCTGTGGATGATTCTGGGGTTGCAGTCATGGTGAAGATAAGCAAGTCCCTGAGCAGTGCCAACTGCGATTTTGATACGTGTATCCCAATCGAGCTTCACCTTCTTTGCAGTGCCATGAAGGAGGTCGTAGAGAGAGCCGTTCTCCATGTAGTCGTAGAAGAGGAGGTTGCCAGAAGGTGACAATGCGTATGCATGGAGAGAGACAATGTTTCTGTGACGAATGCTGCCAATGGTCTCGAGCTCGGTTTGGAACTCACGAAGGTTGTAGGGGTACTTGTGGTTGTAGAGTCGCTTGATTGCCAGGGGCCGAGAATTTTTCAGCATGCATTTGAACACTGTGCCAGAAGCTCCACAGCCAATGATGAATTTCTCATTGAAGTTCTCGGTGTAGCTCAGTATGTCGTCGAAGGTGTGGAATGCCATGTCCATGTGAAGCACTACTAGTTTTGGAGGGCCTGAACAATGGAGAACAAAACAGGATTGGACGTTGGAAACAAAAAGGGGGAAATGATGGTTTGCAGATATACTCAAGAATAGAACTAAAACCTTGCAATGAATTGTTGGTGGCATCATCCAACAGGTTCTGTTGCTTGGATTTGTAGATAGCAACTGCGACCACAGATAGTAGAGCAAGGGCACCCAGCACTATGCAGACAACTGCAGGCATTGTGAATATTGCTGGGGAAAAAATACCAAGTTCAGAACAAGTTTTATATATCAATGTAATGGTGTAAAGACAAGGTAGAACTGTTACCTTTCGATTTTACGGTGTAAGGATCACATATAGAGCCAACCCAGTTCCCGCAGAGCAATGGATTGCCCACATAGCTGAATCAGTAAAAGGGGTGATTTTCAGTATATTAGGAAGAGGGTAATCATTAGGAAGACATTGGAAGATCTGTTATACCTGTCAGCTGGGAATCGAGAAAAGTTTCGAAGCAGTGGAACGATCCCTGATAAGTTGTTATAAGAGAAGTTCCTAGTAACACAGCGAAGGCAGTTTCAGAGTACTGATATACATAAGCTTAGGACTTTAGGACAAAGGAGAGGAAGATAGAAGGATTATTACAGATTGGTGAGGCTGAGACAGTTGGAAAGTTGTTCAGGAATCTGTCCATGCAGGCTGTTGTTGTTCAGAATCCTGACAATGATAATGTTGATTAACAGGATGGTTGGCAGAGATAAGGACTAAGCATATCGAAACGAAAATTTAATACTCACAAGGAAGCAACATTTTGCAGCTGACCAAGTTCAATAGGAATGGTTCCAGTGACATTGTTGAAAGAAGCATCACTGCAGTGAAAAAAGAAGCCAGAAAACATCAATGAGTTGCAGAACAACGATCAGAAAAGTTGGGCCAATGGGTTAACAACTTACATTATCTGAATGCTGCGAAGGTTACCAAATTCAGCTGGCAATGGTCCACCAAGATGGTTCTTGCTCAAGTTCCTGGAGACCAAACTACTTTAGATGAAGCTCCAAACGGTAGAACTAACAAAAAGTCTAGGGTGCTTACAGTATCAGAAGGTGCTCCAGATCTCCAACCGAAGCTGGTATAGGCCCAGAAAAGCTATTGCTTGACAGATCCCTAAAACAGCCAAAGAACACAGCAAAACTAAGACTTCTTCCCCGACGCAACTCGAAGAAGTTCAAGATACAAAATGGGGCTACCAATTCACAAAACCTACAGCGTATCGAGGTTGACAATGCGTCCAAGCTCGAAAGGAATTTTTCCTTTGAAGTTGTTCCGCGAAAGATTCCTGGAAGATAATAAGTAAATTTATCAGAGTACAGAAGAATAGACAGTTCTGACCTGTCGTGAATTGTCAGCTATAGGACCTTACAGGTAAGTCAAGCTCCCCAAGTTTCTGAAACCTGGAGGGATTGTTCCATTCAAGCGATTGCCATGAACATTGCTGTAAATGGAAAACAGCACCAATTGTTAGGAACCATTACCCACTTGCATTGCACATAAGCACAGAAAGGAGGTGGCTATATCCTAAAACACATACAACTTGTTCAATGCGGTACAGTAGCTTATGTTATGAGGAATGGAGGCTTCCAGCTTGTTGTTGGCAAGATTCCTGATGCACATAACACACAAAAAAAAACAATCAATTAATCGGAACTCAGCTTATTAAGTACACAACTAGCAAAAGAAACACACTCACAATTCAAACAATTGTTCCAGCTTGCCAAGTTCAGGGGGAATGCCACCAGTCAACTCATTGTCATTCAGTTGCCTGCAAATATCAAAATGTCCCTACTGCTTAACCAAAAATCATTGACTATCCAAAACAAGCATCAAGGCACAACTTGGAACGTGAATGAACTCTCTTACAAGTAACTAAGTTTGGACATGTTCCCAAGTTCTGGAGGAATTGGTCCAGTCAGTTTGTTTCCATGGAGATACCTAATTTTTCACCAAACAGCAACATCATTAAACCGTGAAACAGAGCTCAAGTAACATTCTACAGAACACCAGCACTTACAATTTGCCCGTGTAAGTCAAATTGCCAAGGATCGGTGGGATCGGTCCGACTAACTGGTTCTCGCTCAAATCCCTATAGAGGAAGGAAAGCAATCAAAAGTGTGAAAGGGAAAAGATAAAACAATGTAGTTAAAGATTGGTAGAAATGCAACACTTACAGAACAGCAAGTGCTTGCATTAGACCAATGACCTCAGGAATCTTCCCAGTGAGCCTGTTACCCTGCAGTGACCTAAACTCGTACGAAACCAAACACGAAATGAGTCAACAAACAATCACCACAAAGCCATGAATGATGCAACCGAAACCCCGACAGAGCTGAAGAGACGGTGAAAGAACACTCACAGAGTAGCTACTTGCAGGAAGCCAACGTTGTAAGGTATCTCCCCTGTGATCATGTTGTATGATATGTCCCTGCAACAATTCAACCATAACTCAGTCAATTGCTTTTCATCAAACCCAGATGAAGAGCACAAGCAATGGTCAGAGAATTTACAGTATCTCGAAGCTTGTGCAGTTGCCAATGCTATCAGGGATGGTTCCAGTTAGATTGTTGCATCTCACATCACTGAAAAAACAAACACCAAAAATTTGCAGTAAGTTACGGATCCATCAATGGAGAAGAAAATTGCATTTGAACGAAGAGAAGGGTTGATATTGCTTACAAGTACCACAAGCCGGTGAGTTGGCACATATCAGGGGACAGCGTTCCGGTCAGAAAATTACTACGCAACCCACTGTTAGTAGTACAAAAGGTTCAAAGGTCATGAGTTCTCAGGCCGGCGAAGTTAGAAATAAAAAGGGTAAACCGTGATCTGTTTATCGTGAAGCTTACAGGTACTGCAGGACTTCATTCCAGTAGATTAATCTGGGTATCTCGCCGGTGAGCTGATTCTGAGCAAGGTCACTGGAAATGGAGGCAGAAGGGTAACGATTTAGTGAAATTTCGAGCGAGAAAACACGACACAATGTTGTAAAGAAGAGAACTGACATGGTTTTGAGATTAGTAATCTGCGTCAGAGTGGAAGGAATAGGGCCGACGAGCTGGTTGTTCCTCAAGTTTCTGCAATTTCACGGGATGGTGAGAAATTAAGAGAATCCGAGTTAAAGGGTGTGAAAGAGCCTTGGAGGGGAAGATTGCAGGTTACGTACAGATATTCTAGCTCCTTCAGCTTAGATATGGAGAATGGAATATCTCCATAGAGCAAGTTGAAGGATAGATCCCTGCAAAAAAAAAAACATACAGCATGAGAGCTACCGACGAGCTGAAATCAAATGTGAAGAAAGATTATCATCAAAAAATAAGAAGGCCTACAGATGAAAAAGGGAACCACAGTTTCCGATTTCATCTGGGATTTGACCCGACAGCTTGTTTCCTTGAAGGTCCCTGTCAATGGAAGACTTCCGTCAACCGGTGATAAAAAAAACAGAGTATTGAAGTTTAGCAATGAGGCTCGAAACAGAGAGAGATGAAGAAAGTAGGGGAGTGGATTACAGAGACTGCAGGTTCCTCAAGTCCCCAATGGCAGCAGAAATCTCACCGCCCAAGTTCAAATTCGACAAGTTCCTGCAAAAGGAGCAAACATAAGGGGAAAAGTTCCTAAAACTTTTCACGGTCGACCATTGCCGGAGAAGAAAAATGCTGAAAAAAACAGGGGAAAAGAGGGAGAAACTCACAGAGAAACAACAGAGAGTGTGAGATTGTCGCACAACACTCCACGCCATGAGCAGAAATCCTCGTTATGGACATCGCCCCAGTCGGAAAGAACATTCACCACATTGCTGAACGACCCCTTGATCGCCATCAGAGCTCTCCCTGCAAAACCCGCCATTTAAGCATCATTAAAAACCACTCCCCAAAACAGAGAGACAAAAAGGAAGCGAAACCCAAAAAACAGGGGACGGTTAAAGTGACAGAATCGGAAAAAAAAAGAAAAACAAACCTTCGTCGTTGAGTGAGGAAGCGTGAGGGCAGAGAACCAGAAACAGAAAAGCTCCGAGCACCAGAAAACGCCGGGAGAGAAGCTTCGCTCGCCCGATGAAGAAGAACCCATTTCCGTCCATTTCTTTCTCCACCGACCCACGAAGCACAGTGCCGGAATCGGGAAAACAGAGGCTAGAAGAAGGTGGAGTGGAAGGAGGAGGGGTCAACAGGGGAATTCTACCATGGTTGGGAAAGAGACGAAGAAGAAGGAGGAGAGCGAAGTTTGGAGGAAGAGTGTCATTGTGTGGGGCGCAGAGAGAGAATGGAATGGAGGGAGGAAAGGATGGTCAGTGAACAGGCAATTGGCGTGAAGGACTACTACTAGTAGTACTCGCACACTATAAGGCGTTATTAATAAGAGGGCAGAGAAAGAAAATGGAAAGGGAAAAAACCAGAGAGAGGGGTTTTATGAAGAGAGAGACAGTGTGTGACAGAAACATAGACAGAGAAATAGTGACAGTAGAGAGAGAGAGAGCATTTGGTTAGGGCAAACGGCGGTGAATAGACGTGGTAGCGGCTTCCATCTTCTTGTTCTTCAAATCTTCATCCTCCCCGTTAAAAAAAAAATATTAAACACTGTTCATTAAGATTGTAGCGGCCGTCATTTCGTACCGCCATTTTCCAAAGTAGTGTACAGTCTTTCTCCGGCAAGCTTACGGGCGCCGGCGAACAAGCCCTTGTGTTTTTTTGTTATGACCAATTAGGTCCCCCAATTATTCTCCAAATCCTATAATTCTAGGCCATACCTTGTTGGTAGGGATATCAATTTCGACCTGACCCGTTTTATCCGACCTGTTTTGGGCAGGTCCGACCCGCCCCGTAGGCTAGGCGGGACGGGCATGGGTAGTCTCATCGACCCGACCTGCCCTAACCTGCCCCATTCTCGACCCGTTCATGTCTAAATTACATATAATCTTAGTCAAATTACTTAGAATTTTCCTTTTATTGCTTCATATTTTGGCTATAATAAAGTTGTAAATTAGTAAAAACCTTAATTTCTCCAATAATTTAACTACAATTGTCATAATATTGTTTGTTTTCTTAGTCTTATAATAAAAATAACGAATATTTCTAATATTTTCATATAAATTGCATACCCACTGAGTCGACCTGTCCCCACCCGCGACCCGTGATCAATTACCCGACCTGGACCCGACCTGCCACGGGGCGGACCTGGGTACCAAAAAACTCGCCCCGGACCTGCCCATTGCCATTCCTACTTGTTTCCTACTTGTTGGTAAGGTGATTTGAACCATTGATTAGATAAAGCGGCCAATTGACAAACACATTTGATTTGTCGAATAAACGTTCCCACTTTCCAGACTTATGACAATGTAATTATGTTAAGGAACGCAACCCACTTAACATGAATGACATATATCGAACAAAGACATGTGTGGTGCGATAGGATTTAGAGCAACTACTCATAGTAGTTGTTGTGAATGGGTAGGAATTGAAAACAAACACATCTTTAAGTGGGTTGTAAAATTTTCAGGGGGTTTCGCGACGGTGTGATCTTTCTAGCCATGGTTTGTAACATTTTCTATATCCCCTAAATCAACCCATATATATATACACGAGCACATATACAAAAAATGCCACATCAGCAATTGAAATGCTGCGAGCAATTTCCGAAAGGGCAATTCTGCCAATTTGTCCCAGCAGTTTCAATGAACGGCAAATTTAATTAGAACCCATAAAAGTAGAGAGGAGCCTTATTGAACATACATTTGGGCCATGCCCCGTTAAAAAATCCCACAAATCTTAAATTTAAAATTCCATTCCACATAAAAAAATCAATAAAAAAAAGCCAGTTTCACTCTTTTGCCAACAGTCTCTAATCTCGATCAAGTTTGTCAACCCGCAGGTTGACCCGAACCCAGTCGAGCTGGTGGGTCAATGGTTAACGGGTCACCCGTTTTAGCCTGTTTTAGTTCGGAAATATGAAAAAAGTCATTATATTGTACTTATCCTGATAATTTATATCAAATCTCATCTAACATATGAGTAATAACATATAACATTACACCAAAGTAACATGTCGTACTTATTCTAACTTCTAATGAGTGAAACTCATTTCATAATTTTCGAAGCTAAATCATAAAATTAATTTAATCTAAAAATAATAACAAAAATTCTAATTTATCAAAATATTTCAAAGTACATCTATATAATAGGTGTGAACGCATGCATATACATATGTCAGACGCATGCTAGCCTTTGCCATAAATATATATAAGTTACTAAATTTTCAATCAACTGTAGTATTTTAAATTATGAAACATCATTGCAAAATCATTGTGGTGTCTTAAACCTATGGCTGGTGTGGTTTATAATGGGGCATAATACATGAATTTGAATGTCACGAGCACATATACAAAAAATGCCACATCAGCAATTGAAATGCTGCGAGCAATTTCCGAAAGGGCAATTCTGCCAATTTGTCCCAGCAGTTTCAATGAACGGCAAATTTAATTAGAACCCATAAAAGTAGAGAGGAGCCTTATTGAACATACATTTGGGCCATGCCCCGTTAAAAAATCCCACAAATCTTAAATTTAAAATTCCATTCCACATAAAAAAATCAATAAAAAAAAGCCAGTTTCACTCTTTTGCCAACAGTCTCTAATCTCGATCAAGTTTGTCAACCCGCAGGTTGACCCGAACCCAGTCGAGCTGGTGGGTCAATGGTTAACGGGTCACCCGTTTTAGCCTGTTTTAGTTCGGAAATATGAAAAAAGTCATTATATTGTACTTATCCTGATAATTTATATCAAATCTCATCTAACATATGAGTAATAACATATAACATTACACCAAAGTAACATGTCGTACTTATTCTAACTTCTAATGAGTGAAACTCATTTCATAATTTTCGAAGCTAAATCATAAAATTAATTTAATCTAAAAATAATAACAAAAATTCTAATTTATCAAAATATTTCAAAGTACATCTATATAATAGGTGTGAACGCATGCATATACATATGTCAGACGCATGCTAGCCTTTGCCATAAATATATATAAGTTACTAAATTTTCAATCAACTGTAGTATTTTAAATTATGAAACATCATTGCAAAATCATTGTGGTGTCTTAAACCTATGGCTGGTGTGGTTTATAATGGGGCATAATACATGAATTTGAATGTCTTTGTTGGATATATTTTATTCCAGACTCTAAAACAAGATATTAAATTGTCCGAGGGAAGATAATAAGACTCAAGATAAAAGAATCAAATAAAGTTCAAGTAGTAAGTTAAATGAAGAGAATTTTGAATACAAGTGTATGCTTAACCTAAGAGTTGACAATATTAGAGTTCACCACCAGGAGGCGCATACACCTATTGGCACTTACTTTCATGGTTGTCAAACAGTGATTCATTACTGAGAAAGAGAGGTGGAGAGGGCTTGAGAGAAAGAAGGGAGAAACCTATTGACACTTACTTTCATGGTTGTCAAACAGTGATTCATTACTGAGAAATAGAGGTGGAGAGGGCTTGAGAGAAAGAAGGGAGAAAAATGGAGTATAAGTAAATGATATAAGATATATAATTGGACATCTTTGGGTAACTAAACTTATTGAGACGAATTAGTTCAAAACATGGAGAAGAGGAAAAGAGATATAGAGAGGAAGAGGAAGAATTGACAGGTTGACAAGTGAGCAATAAATCTTCAATAAATTGGAGTATTTTAAACAATGATGCATTATTGTAAGAGTCGAGATTACAATATTAGAGTTCACCACCATGGGGCTCACAGGTGCATATTGGTGCTAACTTTCATAATTTTATGGTTGTCAAACAATGGTTCATGACTAAGAAAGAGAGGTGGAGAGGGCTTGAGAGAAAGAAGGGAGAGGAATGAGGTGTTATTAAATGATATAAGATCGATAATGAAACATATCTAATAACTCAACTTATTGAAACTAATTTGTTCTAGATATAGATATGGAGAAGAGGAAAAGAGATAGAGAGAGAGAGAGGGGAAAGAACCAGGAGGACGATAAAGAGAGCAATGGAAAGAGGTCAGGTGATTGTGAACGTTAGGATGTATTTTTTTAACTTTATTATATGTTGAATGAGAACATGCAAAATTATGTTTAGAAATCTAAATTAAACTCCAAATATTAAAATCTTAAATCCATATCTTACACGCATATATTTTTGAAATATGTCTAAAATTGATAAATAGGTTGGAAATTGATCCGATTGTGAAACCTTAAAACCACTTACTTTATTAACTTAATAGTTTAAATTGGTTGACAACTTTGTTTATATCACACATATTAATACAGTAACAAAACTCATCCGGCCAACTGGCCGGGCAAAATGCTAGTCATTCACTATTGACGAATTATTGGTCATTTCAAAGTGTTATAGAATTCTTTCATGGGTAAAGAAAAAGTTATGGACAATTATCCAGCCCTAGTTATACATATGCAGTATTTTTTTATGACACATCTACGGTTTTCAATAGCTTGGGTATTTGGAGATTCACAAAACATTATGTATTGTGACTTAACACTTATGCAATTAAGTCGACATTTTCATTATCGACTCGACCTATTTCATGGGCTAATTTGGTAGTAGGATGGATTCTCTCATGTCATGTATATTTGTTCATTTCCTCATGTTTTATATTTATGATAAACTTTGGGAGAGAGAAACTATGACTGAATATACGAATGTCAGAGCAAATAATGATTTGTCAATGTTTGTAGTTGGCTAGGAGTCTTTTGTTGCGGGTTATGAAACTCTACATTGATTCACCCATACAATCTCACCTCATCCCTTAATAGATCCACTAAAGGCTCGTTCGGAAGTTGGGATTTCAGATGATGTATTTAGCCAATACATGTAATCAGAAGAATTCATCGTTTTTGTGGCTTAAAATGAAACAGAATGCTTGTATTTGGACAACATATGGGCCCACCAGAATCATTCATTATGAATGATGGTCAATCTCAACTTTTAGTAGAGATTGTGTTTGAGGGATTGTTGTCTTACTTTTTGTTCCTTATTCTTTGAGGGACCACCAAAATCATTCAATCTCCAAACAATGTATTTTTCAAATTCATACATTGAAACAATGCATCTAATTATAATACATACAATGATTAAATACATCAATTTAGAGAATCCTAACTTCCAAACATGCCCTAAAAGTCCTGGCGGCCAAGCAACGTCCCCCAAAGATACGTATACAACTTTTTTCCAAACAAAACTTATGCACCAGCACTACAGTGAACATTCAGCCAATCCAATACTAGCTCCATTATAGGCTCTTCACTCATAAAGCACAACAAAACTTCCTGGGAACCAGGCACTGATACAACTACTCTCATCACTCCATTTACAAAGTCACGAGTATAATCACAATCACAAAAAGAGATGCCTTATGGATTCACCTTGATATGATCTCAAATAGGCTACTCTACAAGTTAGAATTATTTGATGAAGAAGCAAGCTCGTTAAGCTCTTGTATCGATCAAGAACGTGTTGATTGTGGTCGGGCATCTATCATTATACCAATCGAGCCTTTACCCAGGTGT